TTTTTAAATAAATGAAGATTTAAAAATAGTTAAAATTTAATTATTCATCATTGAAGAAAAAGGATTAGAAGATTCCTAAAAATTGAAGGCCTTCGCCGATGTGACTTCCACGCTCCAAAAGACCCCAGGCAAATCTTCTAGAAAGTTAAGCGATGATTACACGTTCACTAACAAAACCTTATTTATTCGGATAGTTACGAAATTTTTATTTTTAATTATAAATATACTAATTTTTACGGTTTCTAAATAGTTAATTGTAGTTTATTCTTTTCTAAATATTATTTTTTTATTTATAACTCGTTTATAAATGATTTACTTATAATTTTATTTTCAATGTCGTATTTTAAGAAATAAAATATTTTTTAAATTCCTCTATAGAGGGCTTAAAGGTAGTATGGATTAATGCATTTGGGCCTTTCACCACACACTAAACCCAGCCCATAATTCAAAATCACAAATCAAATTCCTTTTCTAATTTTTATTTATATAAAATCTTCAAACCTGAAGCCAATTTGCCCGTACTCTCTCTCTCTCTCTCTCTCTCTCTCATCGGCCGCAGAGCTCTCAGGTCAGTGTAGAAATAGTTTTTATTTATGGTCGATTATTAGTTATATTGTGTATGTCTGTAGATGTTGTTGTGTTTGTTTCGTCTCTCTTTATGACTGCAGAAGTACTGAATTTTGTCGCTATCTTAAAAATCAGGCACTTCTTCTTCTTTTCTTTTTTTGGTGGAATTCTGTGTGTTTTGTTATCGAATATGGCTGTTTATTAGGTAAAATCGATACATATGGGACGTTTTTTTAAATCATATTCAATTTATAGCTGGAGACACTGATGGTGATTGAAACTATTTCTAAGCTAGGGTTAAGATTCACGGCAAACATTGACGGGCTTTGTTTCTTCATTTAGCTCTGTGAAAAAAAAAAATGGAGTAAATGTGAATTGTGTAGCTTTCTTTTACCATAAATTGCATATTTGTCCAGTCTCTTTTTACTGGCAAGCCAATTGAAGAAAAGACTGTATTAAAGTATTAATAAAATCAAGATCTTTGTTTTTCCCGAGAAAAAGGTGAATAAATTGAGGAAAGAGATTGAATTCCTACTTTTTCTGGTACCTGTTTGAAACTTCCAAAGGAGATTTTTTTTTTACTTTCCTGTGATGGAAATTGCTGCGTGGTTTTGTAGCCGAACTGCTTTGATCTGAAATAAGAACGTTGTCAAATGCTAACAAGATTTCATTTTTCTCTTATGTGTTAGAAGTATTTGATACTTTTAAAGTTGTCTCTATCACCTCGTGCGAGTATGGCTCCCAGGAAGAAGAACAATACCGTTCATACCAAATCTAATCCAGAGCCCGTTGTAACTGGCAAGAAAAGACTGAAGAAGAACGGGAAAACCGTTTCAGCTTCTGATGAGAAGACCTCGCAAGTGGAAACTCCCACCCCAAAGAAAAAGGAAGACGAAAAACTAGCGGCTAATGACGAATCTACCCCTACTCCTCCTGTAGTTAAGAAGAAGCCCTGCACGTGGCTCAAACTCGACCGTCTCAACTCGCCAGCTGTGAACAAATCATCACTTCAGAGCTGTAAACATGACCAGGAAGCAAAACCAAAACCGAGTCCCCAATCTCAGGCCTCGAGAGACAACAATAAGAGAGCCAGAGAAGAAAGCGGTGAAGAAGAAAAGAAAAGGAAAAATAATGTGGAGTTTAGTTTCGGGAAGAAAAAAGAAAAACAAACGTCAAACGAGACGCGTGATAATGATGATGATGAGGATGACGATTCTAGTAAAGGCCTTGGTGGATTGATTTTTATGTGCAATGCGAAAACCAAACCCGATTGTTTTGGGTATAAGTTGATGGGTGTGCCCTTGAAGCAGAAAGAGGTTGTGATGGGCATTAAGCCTGGCCTCATACTTTTCCTCTACGATTATGACCTCAAAGTCTTGTATGGGGTCTTTGAGGCTTCATCTCCAGGTGGTATGAAACTCGAGCCGGCTGCTTTCAATGGTGGTTTTCCAGCTCAGGTTTGTTTTCTCTCTACTTTTTTTCCCTCGGTT